TCTCACATGGTATTCTGTACCAGTGTAAAATAGCAGCTTAACACTACTGTGTTTCGTATGGTGAGTGTAGAGAACCGGAGACTTTTTTTACTGGAAAAGAGGCATTCCATCTTAGTCCTCACGGGTGACAATGCATCTGCATTTTGATTCTATATTGAGGATAGATGTAGATGCCTATGGGCAAATAAAAAAAAAGACCGAGGTAATAGAAAACACTGTATTTAAAGAAAATACTAGCAATACTATTAATACAACTAATATTCCCTTTAATCACTCCTGATAAGCTGAAAATGCTGGTGTTAGGATTGGTGCACGACAGTAGTCGAATGGCGGATTCGAACTCACGACCTTTTAAATTCACGGTCCGCGCCCTGCGAGCCTTCTGTCGCTTATTTTACCTACACTATATTCTACCTCATTTTCTTACAGGCTAAATCCTATAGATGTATGATGTTTTTCTTTTCATAGAGTCTCAAATCAAATCACAGCTATTCTGAAGTTTTACCTTCAAAAGTAAAACCCGGTTTCGAGTAACTAAAAATAATAAAGTAAATTCACGGCTCTGTGGCGCAGTGGCTTAGCAATGAGTTAAGGGTCGCGGGTTCGAAACATGCACGGAACAAGTATGGCCTACAAATTTATGTATGTAAACTGCCCCAACAGGAAAAAATCTTAGTGTGGAGGTAATGTTTAAAAAAAACAAACAAGAAACATTATAAAGTAAAGTAATAATGTAAATTGAATGATATGTTGCTAACTGGTAACATTCATTGCTATGCGGATGACAGCACTGGTGATGCTCTATACACCGGCCGGGCCAATATTTCTCGGGAAAACGTCGCCGAGTACCGGAACAAACTTGTGTCTGAAGTCGAGTCTTTGCTGGACAAAGTCTCGGATTGGGGGCGACTAAATCTAGTCCAGTTTAATCCTCAGAAGACACAAGTTTGCGCGTTTACCGCTAAAAAGAACCCCTTTGTCGTATCTCCTCAGTTTCAAGGCACTCCCCTTCTTGCCTCAGCCAGTATCGGTATCCTCGGAGTCGACATATCGAATGACGTGCAGTTTCGTGGTCACTTGGAAGAGAAGGCCAAATTGGCCTCTAAAAAGCTTGGCGTGCTCAGCAGAGCGGGACAGTATTTCATGCCGGCACACCGCCTGCAACTTTACAAGGCGCAGGTTCGGCCTCACATGGAATACTGTTCCCATCTCTGGGCAGGGGCTCCCCAGTGCCAGCTCCTTCCACTTGACCGCATCCAGCGCAGAGCGGCTCGAATCGTCGACGACCGAGCCCTTTCCGATCGGCTCGATTCATTGGCACTGCGAAGAGATGTTGCATCTCTTTGCATTTTCTTTCGCATCTACCATGGGGAGTGCTCTGAGGAATTGTTCGGATTAATCCCAGCCGCCAAATTTCACGAACGCACATCGCGGCAGAACTCCCGATACCATCCACACCATCTGGATGATTGGCGGTCCACCACTGTGCGATTTAGAAGATGTTTTCTTCCTCGCACAACTTCCTTGTGGAATAGTTTACCACCAGGGATTTTTCCGGACCGATACGACTTAGGGACCTTCAAGAAAAGAGCCTACTCCTTTTTAAAAGGCCGGCAACGCATCTGCAATTCCCCTGGTGTTGCGGTTGTTCATGGGCGGCGGTAGTCACTTACCGTCAGGTGAGCCGCATACTCGTTTGCCCCCTCTCCTATAAAAAAAAAAAAAAAAAAAAATTAATTTTAAATGACGTTAAACAACTTGCCAATTGCGTGTCGGGCTACGCACGTGGTAGGGTTCCGTAGTTGCCCGTCACAATACGTGGGCTTATTTGATAATGAGCACAATAAGTGAGTTCCCTATTTGACCGCTATAACGACTAAAATGGGCCCAAATAGGAAGATCGTAACTAAATTTTCAAATCAGATTTATAAGGAGTGGTATTCAAAAAAGATTTAATGGAAAATAATACCATTTACATTAAAATCATTCACATGCCAAGGTACAAAGATGATTATAGTTGACTTACAATTTGTATATTCCCGGCAGTGCAACCCTAAGATATACATATATGACCGTACTGAATCTTCACGTAACCCACCACTGCTTTATATTATCCTAAGGTCGCCCGCGTAAACCCAGAGTGACGATTGAAACTGTATGAGGCTATATGATTGTATGAATACTTTGAATGAGGCCTACAATAACTACTAATAGTAAGTAAGTAAGAAAGGTCCCCCCTGCCTCTCCCGCAAATGAAAAAGTAAAGCTATAGTAGAAATGCATATTAGTCTTTTTTTTATAGGAGAGGGGACAAACGAGCATGCGGCTCACCTGATGGTAAATGACTACCGCCGCCAATGAACAACCGCAACATCAGGGGAATTGCAGAAGCGTTGCCGGCCTTTTAAAAAGGAGTAGGCTCTTTTCTTTTCTTTTTTCTCTCTTCATATAAAATGTTAATTTTTAACAATCTATACAAATAAAAAAAATTGAAGTGTCTGTTTGTAATGTTAAAATAACAGCATTTTACTAAATGCACAAAAGTATATACGGTACTTATAACAAAAACACAATTTTTAAAATTTTTGTCTGTCTGTCCGTCTGTCTGTCTGTCTGTCTGTTTGTTCCGGCTAATCTCCGAAATGGCTGGACCGATTTCGACGGGACTTTCACTGGCAAATATCTGATGTTATAAGGAGTAACTTAGGTTTATATTTTAGAAAAGGAATTAAGGTTCCGCGCAACATAATTAAAACACTAAATTACACTCCGGAGAAGTCGCGGAGAACAGCTAGTTTACAATAAAATTGCAGAGTTATAATGCAGCTAGTTTTAGGTCATTTTCTACGGAGTTGTAACGAAATTTTTACTAATCCAAGTGCATTTTATAAGTTAGTCGACTATTACTCGTTACATTCTTAATTCTACTTAGCTATGATGGTTTTCATTTTAACTTCGTTATATACTAGTATCGTGTATATTTCCAAAAACAGCGGTTTAGTTGGTAGAGGGGGCTGGGTGGGGGGACACATGACTAATGAAAAATAGCGCTTTAGAGCTAAATGTTTCGCAAACGGACCCCTGAATCGAAAAGATGTTGTTACACACTCCCAGTGTTTTTGAAAAACCTGTCCAACGATATTCCATGATATGATGGAATAGACGGGTAAAAAAAATCATCCTCCATTTACTTGTACGAGTATGTGAAGTACCGAAAATAAAAATGTTTTTTAAGGTTTTATTTCACAGTTTTCTAGGCGTGATTAATATCTAAGTATAACTATGCCCAATTACAGATTTTAGCACCTCTGGGCAGGTCTCTGAGCAAAACCGCGAACAGACGGACGGACGGACGGTCATAGCGAAGCTATAAGGGTTTTTTTAAACCTTAAAAAAAGAGTTTCTTGCAATTCGACTATATTATGTTTTTTATTATATTAAGCGATGTATTCATCAGTTGTGAACCGTTATCTCTTTCTTATTATTACAAGTTGTACTTTACTCTTTAGGTGGACCCAGGTATATTTAAATATGGGCTGTGCATTTCGAAGTCGGTTTTAAATATTTTCAGTATAAAGTGACGTAAATAAAGTAATATGAAATCATCAAAACCACGTTATGTTTTTCAATACATTTTTTAATAAATCTCCCACAAAGTGTATTTATTTATAAAAAGTTAAAATAAATAATGAAATTAAGCTAATAATGAAATAAGTTAATATCAGTCAGTTGTAAAATTAATTAAAAAAAATTAACGATAATTTTAGTCACAATGCATAAAACAAAAGAAAAAAAATCCTTAAATATCTACAAACAACAGTAATCATGTAAATAATTAATTAAAACCCAAATTACAACAACATATTTTACGTAAATTTTGATAATCAAATGTGGTTTATTTAGCTTAATACATAATAGTTTAAATAGAGTAAAGAGGGAAGTTTTAGAATTTATTTATAATTCATCAAGTCCTGAAATAAATGCGGTTTATGAATGATAAGCTTTTCATTACAGTTAGTTTAAAGAGAAAAACAGGACTTAAATTATTTTCTCATTTCAAACTAGATACCTATATTATAACTATTTTACATTTCTTTTTAATTTAATTATCATTTCAAAGTTGAATACAAAAGCTTAAGAAAATAGCATCTATGAACTACAAAGGTTTGTAAACAATGATCTCATCTTCATCGTTATTACCATAAGGTTTGAAAAAGAAAAATAGAATGTACGAGTACGTAATATTACATCGTGTTGCAAATAGTTTAAAAATCTGGCTAAATTTATAATTAGTTATTATTATTAATAAATAAAAATAATATCGTGTTATTTGTACTCCTGGAAGCCTTTTTATATTAACATTATATTTAACATTTTTATTTAACATATAATTTTTATATTCAAATATGAGTAAATACTGATATAAACCGGCTCCTGGCACTGGTTTCGATTGTAATTAAAATACAGGAGTAACTTTAAATAATTACTTATGAATAAATGTAGATTGACCAATGTAATATTGGCCATAATTACAAAGACCATTATAAATTCATAAATATTTAATTGTCACTTGGATGGAGGACACCTTTTCTACCAATGAGTATTCGTAAGCGCTATTTAAGATACTTACGAGTTTTCCTTGTTCGCCTCCCACATTACTGATCTTTGTACTGTCTACTGTTTTGTTCCGTTTGATGGGCATGGAGACATTACATAATATATTATTAAAAGGAGTTTCATCTAAATATTTCTGAAGAAATATAAGTGAGAATGCACGTTGTATAACTTTGCATCGATAGACTACAGTAGTCACCACCACAAGAAAAAGTGTTAGCTTATTTGGCATTCTGAATTAAAATAAAATATTAAACTTATCTCTTATTTATAAATACTAAAGTTATTTTTTAAAATAATTTATGACAAAAAATATTTTCACAATAATTAATTATTAAATTAAAATAAATAATAAGCTAATACAATTCTACGTTTTCAATATTATTTTAAGCGGTTGTTCCAGGTGCAGTAATATACATAGAGGCGGGTGTTGGCCTGTGCTTTGGTAGTAAATACGCCCTGTTGGCGAAGTCTTTTCCATAACCGCCACTCGACGAATAAGCATAATTGCTGCCGTAATCCGAGTTGAAGTCCGAGGATCCTCCATCGAAGTATGATGAATAGTGCGTCATGGGATGATGGTGCTGAAATATATCGTTAATATTAAGAATGATGTTTCCCAAATTGTTAGAATGATCAATAAAAGTAGATGGTTCCTTTTCTTATAAAGGATAAGGGTGACAAACAAGCACACAGTACACTTGATGGTAAGTGGTTACCGTGGTTCAAAGTCATCTATATCTATCCTCGATTATGAATTAAAATGTATATGCATTTAGGACTAATATGGAATGCCCCGTTTTCATTAAAAAGGGTCTCCGGGTTTCTACACTCACTTGCAGAAATTCAATGTAGTTTAAGTGTTGTTTTTCTAATTTATCATCCATTATAAACGTCCACAGCTTTAACATGAACTTCCATATAGATTCAAACTACCCTCATATTTGCTATAATTGCAACGTTTGGCAGGCGGGTTGGCAACTTTGGCAGTTTTTTATTGGTTTGAGTGTTATGTGGAAGGTACTATAGAGTCTACAGTATCTGCCACATAACACTACAGTGTAGACCAATTACTGGCTTCATAATACGTTCGCTAATCTTCTTCGTTTCTCGAATGTGATACGACTGAAAATGTTATTGTACTTACTAATGTTAAAGACTTGCTGTCCGCGGTGAAATAAAATGGGGAAACAGGACGCAGCCTGTTGCGCTCTCTGTCGCACTTACGGGCCTTACTGCAGGCCTGCTGTAAGGCCCGTAAGTGCAACAGGGAGCGCATAACGTAACATGTGGCGTCCTCTTTCTTCATTTTATTGCACCGCGGGCAGCGAATCTATATACTATACATTCAAAAGGAGTGTCTATAAAAACAATGTGTGCGTGCATATCTAGGAATTAAAAAAAATTCAAGGCAAAATACCCGTTTTAACGGCTAATAACAAAAATTATTTACTAATTGGCCTATTTTTTGACCCGTGAGTGATTTTTTTAAATTTACAATGCACTTATCCGATTAAAAACTTAATTGAGATTTTTTTGGAAATCTTGTGTTCATATTTCTTGACTTTGGCTTGGCTTTTATAACGGTAGTCATTTGTTTCCAGCTCTGCTGGAGTCAAATTTGTGCAAATTCTAAGTGTTGGTTTTATGGATCTGATTATGTTTTGGCTGTTCGAAGCTAAATTCCAGCCGATCTTCAACATTATCCCAATTCCCACCAAATAAAGTCGTAAGCGCTATAAAATTCCATTGCTGAACATAGGACTCTCCAATAGATTGCTTCATCATCATCATCATCATCATTACAGCCCTTCACAAGTCCACTGCTGAACATAGGCCTCCCCCAAAGAATGCCACAAAGCACGGTCCTGAGCCACCTGCATCCATCGACTTCCTGCATGTCTTACCAGGTCGTCACTCCATCTCGTGGGGGGATGCCCTACACTTCGCCTACCGGTACGAGGCTGCCACTCGAGAACCTTTCTTCCCCATCGGTTGTCGGTTCTTCGAGCTATATGGCCGGCCCATTGCCACTTCAGCTTACTAATCCGTTGGGCTATGTCGGTTACTCTGGTTCTACTGCGGATATCCTCATTCCTAAGTTTATCACGCAGAGAAACTCCGAGCATAGCCCTCTCCATAGCTCGCTGAGCGACCTTGAGCTTCCTCATCCGGCCAGCAGTGAAGGACCACGTCTCAGTTCCGTATGTCATCACTGGCAACACGCACTGGGTGTACAGTCTCGTTTTCAAGGTTTGAGGTATACCTGACGAGAAGATGCGCCGTAATTTCCCGAACGCTGCCCAACCGAGTTGAATCCGTCGATTGACCTCTCGGTCGAAGTTGGACTTACCTAGTCGGACTATTTGTCCCAGGTAAACATACTCGTCAACAACTTCGAGCTTAGTGTTCCCAACAACTACCGGCATAGGTGTGACATGGACATTAAACATGATCTTAGTTTTGTCCATGTTCATCTTAAGACCTATCCGTTGGGAAACACTATTGAGGTCATTGAGCATAGTGCTTAGGTCCTCCAGCGATTCTGCCATAAGGACTATATCGTCGGCAAATCGAAGGTGAGTGATGTACTCGCCATTGATATTGATACCGTATCCTTTCCAGTCCAGAAGCTTCAAAACGTCTGTGCGGGACAAGAGAAAAACAAATAGTGATACATAAATAAGACAAAAACATTTATATTAATGGAATAAATATTATAGTTAGTTTGTACTTAGATAGGATAAACATTTATATTAATAGAGATTATAGTTTAGATAGGATATAAGCATTTTATGTTAAGAAAATAATATTGTAGAGCTTATATTTGTGTAATAAAATTAGTTGGTCACTTTGTATAACAGAACTAGCTGAAGGTAAACAATGTAAACAATGACTCAGTAAGATATAGAACTAGCTTAAGACAAACAATGTAACGGGACTCAGCATCGTCACTTGCTCTGTCACGCCTCGCGCTGATTGGTCGACGCCTTGACCCAGCCCGAGGCGGTATAAAAGAGGGGCGATTTTCGTCGTTCGACACAGTCGGCGGCCAGCTACCTCAAGGAAAACACCAAATATAGAAGAAAGAAAAATATCGCAGCGGTTTTATTCTCCACCAATCCAGCACACAAATGTGCCTGTAGGGCACATTTAATGGTCCTTCGCCAGCCGAATCTTATGGGGAATAATTACCTGAAGAAAAGTAATTAAGAAGACTCCCCGGAAATCGTTTTTCAAGACTCAAGATTATTCGAAGAAAAAGTCAGCTGACAGCATGGCCGTTACGCGCTCTGAGGGAAGGGGCAGCAAGCCGTCGTCGTCCAAGGCTACCACCTCGGCGACCGGTACCACCAGTGCGGAAGCCAGTACGGAATCAACAGCTACAGGGACGACCGCCACGGAGACTTCGGAGTATAAGGACACCTCCGCGGCGACTGATCCATCCACCGTGACTTCCGCCACCACAGCGACCACTTCGTCCGCCGCCACCTCAGCCTCAGCCGCAACCGCCGCCCCCGCCACGCACCCCGCCAGCGCCGTCGCTCCTTCCGTAACACCATCCGCGGCGACGACACTAACTGCGGGTGCGAAGGCCAAACAGCTGATGAAGCCGCCCGCTACTGTCACCAGAGCAACTCACCGAGAAACAGAAACTTCTACAGTGAATCGAGCCATAAGAAGCACCGCCGGTCCATCAAAGCAAACCGAGCTACAGGAACCCCGCCCGCCCAGCAAGAAGGGAGGTGGAGGGGGATCTACACGCAGTAGAACGAAGCAGCTCAAGCTTGCAAAGGCGAAAGAAGATTTACTACGCCTTCAAGTGGAATTAGCCGCAGCACGCCTTGCTGCCTTAGAAAGGGAAGACTCAGAAGAGGAGGAGGAAGAAGAAGATGACGCATCCCACTACTCAAGATCAGAAGTCAATACAAGAGTGGACGACTGGTTGGAGAATCAAGTGAATCGCCCGGTGTTAGCAATCACCAACGAACTTCACCATGCCATAGAAGAACCAACAGCCGCCCACGCAGAAGAACCAAGGCACGAAGAAACACATCAGTCACCGGCGGGAGGTCAAACTGACGTAGCCCTCCTGGCTGAAGCCATCACTCGGGCTGTCAGCGCCGCCCAACGACCTAAGTTCGTCGAGTTACCATTCTTCAGCGGGTCTCATCAGGAATGGCTACCCTTTCGCGCCGCCTACTACGAGACAGAAGCGACATTCAGCGTAGTTGAAAATACGAATCGACTCAGAAGAAACTTGAAAGGGAAGGCCAAGGAAGCAGTTGAAGGCCTACTTATGACCAACGCACACCCGGCTGAAGTAATGAAGACTTTGGAGTCAAGATTTGGAAGACCAGAGTCAATAGCCATGCTGGAGATGGAGACGCTTAGAGGTCTGCCGCGCCTTACTGAGTCACCAAGAGACATATGCATATTCGCCACCAAGATCTCCAACGTAGTGGCGACACTGAAGACTTTGGGTTGTTTTAACTACATGTACAATCCTGAACTCGCGAAGACAATAGTAGACAAACTGACGCCAACTCTGCGTTATAGGTACTACGACTTCTCAGCCATGCAGCCACGTGAAGACCCTTGCCTCATCAAGATAGAGAAGTTCTTCAAAAGGGAAGCAGAACTGTGTGGACCCTACGCGCTGCCCGAACAGATGACACCGCCTATTACAGCCGCACCACAAAGGAAGACTCAAAGGATCAACAACGTGACTGAGAAGACATACATACCAAGATGCGTCGTATGTGAAGATACGGGGCACACCAACGCCACAGAATGTGAACAATTCAAGAAGTTAGATGCAAATGCAAGATGGGACATGGCCAAGTCCAAGCGCCTCTGCTTCAGGTGTCTTCGCTATAGGAACAAGACACACCACTGCCGACCCAAGCCATGTAATGTCAACAGCTGCAAGTACTCTCACCACAAGATGCTGCATTACGAAAAGAAGTCAGAAGATTCAGAAGCAAAAGAAAATCAAGGGGCAACAGAGGTCATCAACTCAACCTGGACCGTCAAGAAGCAATCATACTTAAAAATCCTACCGATCCAGGTCAAAGGACCAAAAGGAGCTATCAACACCTTCGCGTTGATGGACGACGGCTCAACAGTCACGCTCGTCGACGATAGTATAGTAACAAGCGTCGGAACAACGGGCCCCATAGACCCACTGAAGATAGAAACCATCAACGACAAGAAAGTATCGGAGTCAGCATCGAGGAGAGTCACCATCAAACTAAAGGGGCTCAACGATCATGAAGAACAAATACAAGCACGCACAGTGAAGAACCTGCAAGTCTCATCTCAACGGGTCCCACAGGATCTAGTGGAGGAGTGTCAACACCTCTCTGATATCCAAGGACATCTCACATATGCAAACGCCAAGCCACGAGTGCTGATCGGACAAGATAACTGGCATCTTCTGCTGACATCGGAAGTAAGAAAAGGAGACAAGAACCACCCAGTGGCATCTCTCACGCCACTAGGTTGGGTACTCCACGGCAGCCAGACACGAAGCTTCGGACGGAACATCGATTTCGTGTCACACATCGTAGAAGATCCAGAG